GTTTGGTTTGGGCAGGCAGTCTATCATTTAAAAAAAAAAAATTTAAGTTTTTAAACTTTTTCTGGTCTGGTTTATTAACGCGCTCTTTAAAACTACAGTTTATGGGAAACTCTTTTTAACTACCATGCAAGAGTATATATATATATATATATATATATATATATATATATATATATATATATATATATATATATATATATATATATATATATATATATATATATATATATATACATATATATATATATATATATATATATATATATATATATATATATATATATATATATATATATATATATGTGTGTGTGTGTATATATTTATATATGTGTGTGTGTATATATATATTTATATATATATGTGTTTGCTTTTATTTTGTATTCTATTTTTTTATTATGTTTGCTCTAAATATACATTTGTTGTATGTACATATATATGCTTATATATGTACCATTTGTCTTACGTATCATCTAATTTTGGTTATTACAATGATAGCTAATTTCTTTTTATTTGCCTGAAGTTCAATACCATTTGGGTGCTATTTTCTTTCTTTTCTTTTTTTTTTTTTTAGTCCTACTCCTAATAGTTTGATATCATATCAATTACTTATGATCATGTTATAGTTTACCACATTATTTGTTTAGTTATAATAAAGTCTCTTGTCATAAAAATTAAGTATTCTGTGAAACATATTTATCTATGAAATATGTTTTACATATAAGTTTTGGTGACGAGATTATTTAATGTTGTAATTTTTTAATTTAGGACTAGAATTATTGCTTTGTATACACAGTATATTAAAGTTTTAAAGATGAGAACCCTTGAGATGAGCAAAGAAACCATGAGCCAACACACTCAAGAGTTCTTAGACAAGGCCAATGTTTTGTTTCTTATACACAAGGAAGATATTTTCAAGCTAATTAGCCAGGATCCTAGAAGAAGTAAGGAGGCTGTAAAGGAGAATTCTATTTTTTTGAAGAGATGTTTGAAAGGGGACATGGTCAAGATGTCCTACAAAAATGACAAAACATTTGCTAAAATAGTTTCTGAAGGTGAGGAAAGAATGAAAAATCTGCTGCTGAAGATGGTAGAAGCGACTGGAGGAGAAACTGAGAGCAAATGTTGAGCAAAAAAAAGAAAGCTTATTTCTGGAAAAAGCAGCAGAAGAAGAAGCTTTGAGAAATTTCGAGTAGGAATTCTCCAGTGGATGTAGTGGAACAGATTATGATTCAGACTTTGAGTCTCCTACTGCAAAGAAAAAAAAGCTATATGATTCAACAAAGATTTGCCTTCAACTCAGTCTAAATGATGTTTTAGATAAGTGGATTCCATTTATGACAAGGTAAATAAGTTTATGGATAAAAAAGTAAAGTATATTACATATATATATATAAAACTTCAAGGTAAAACAACTCAAAATTGCTCGCTTACAAAGCAAACCGCTCGCTTTGTAAGCGAGTGGTTCGGAGTTCGATGAGCAAGAAAAAACCATGAACTTATAGAGAATGAAGCATTTATTGTAATAGAGCAGAACCTGGATAAGATTAGGGGTTTAAGACTTGTTCTTCACTTTGACACAAAGTTGGTTAAACAATATAGGACGGAGGTCAAGATTTCAGAAACAGTAGAAAGGTTGGCAATTAGTGTTTCGTCTCCAGAGTAGGGTTCACTTGACTTTCTTCTGGGAGTACTTGAAGTACCCTCCTCCAAAGGGAAAGATCAATCACTGGCTATCCAAAGCCTTGTTGAATATTATGACTTAACAGACCAGATCATAGCTTGTTGTACTGACACAACTCGCTCGAACACTGGAAAGCGTAATGATGCAATTAGAAACATTGCTGTTTATTATCTACCTTGTCCAATTCTTTGGCTAATGTGTAGGTATGATATATAATGTGTAGGCTTTTGGAACCCTCTTTTACAATCTTGCAAATGAAACCATGGAGTTCTGCACAACATCTCTTAAAACAAATATTTTTGACAGAGGTGAATTTAAGTATTTATGTCAACTGGTAGCTTTTTACCTCAGAGCAAATTTATTAAACTTCAGGTTTTTACAACCTGGTGCACATCATGAACCAAGATTTATGGCTGATTCATTATATCTGTTAGCAATGCAAATGACCAAGAATTACAACTAGCAACTCAGTATTAATGAGATTAAAATGATACAAGATGCAACAGATTATATATTGATCTTTCACTGTTTATTCTTCCTGAAGAGCCTAATGGCAGCTCAGGCTCCATCCAATGACCTTAGAGCATTCAAGATTTTATTACAGATTATGGTAGATCCACTTTACTCCAAAAAGTACGGAAAGATTGGTAAAGCTCTTAATCTTAGTATTCTCAGACACACTTGGCATTTTACACCACAGTGTGTTATCTTTGCTTTAGCTGACCAGAGCTTAGAAGAGAAAGAGAGGTTGAATATTCTTGTGAGATATGAAATATGATGTTCCAGAGGTGAACATCTTTGACAAAGCACAACCAGAACCTTTTACACAAGTTTGCCCCCTCTCAAAACTATCAGACTTTGTTTCTCAGGAGTCTTACCTCTTTTTTCTCCATCTTGGTATAACCAAAGATGATATTCTTGCATGGAAAGAAGAAGGCATGTCAAATTTGGAGAAAAATCTCAACAATAGATCTTTTAAGACATTATTGTCCAATGTACGTCAGTTAGCAGTTGTTAATGACAGGGCTGAAAGACACATCAAATTGGTGCAGAATTTCATTGGCAGCACACATTCCGAAGACAGGCTCCAAGACACAATGATGGTGGTTTTAGACAACCGGCGGAAGGTGTCTAAACATGCCACTAAACAAGACTTGAAGAATGTTTAAATAAAAAAAGCACTTTATGGCTGTATTTATGTTTTTGAAATATATTTTTTCTAACAAAAGTTTAATAATTTTTGCACCAATTTTTTTGTATTCCATAGTATTTTATTTTAAAAAACATTTCAAAACAATGCAATTTTAATAAAGAATAAATTAGTTATGCATTTTTTTCAAAGTTGCAGTAACTATAGCAGTCAGAATTAATGCAATGGATAATTAATATAAAGTTAACTTGATTATTTTATAAAAATATTGAATACTATCAAAGTTTTAATAAAAAAATGCAAAAAGATCTCATTAAAATTTATATGCAGTTTTTTTCTAAAACATCTTCTTCAGCTAAACAGTGACTTTGAGCCCAGATATTTTTATGGTGGTCTACTGGGACCAAATAAGGAGGATTCACAATGTTGAATTCAAAATTTTTTTTTTCTGGGACACCCTAATCCACACTTTTTTTTTGAGATCTTTCTTTCCTGCTGGATTTATATATCTGATTTTATAAACTCAAAGTACATTTTTGTGTACTAATGAATCTTTATATTTACTTTATAAGCATACACAGTTTATACATTCACATTCATTTATACATGTGTACTAATGAATCTTTATATTTACTTTATAAGCATACACATTTTATACATCCATTCATTTATACATTCACATTCTAATAATAAACATTTTTGTGCACTATGAGATCTTTATATTTACTCTATAAGCATTATGATCCTATATATTATGTAAGAAATTACATTTATACGAATATCTACAGGCTTTTTATTATTATCAACCTCATCTTAGATTAATTTCTATTTTTGAAATTAATGTCTTGTTATCATTCAATTTCTGCAACATTTTTTAAAATTTCAAATTCAACAAAGTTGTAATTTGATAATGGAATATTTTTAATAATGTAATTTGATAATGGAATTTTAGCCTGTTTATACTTGCTTAGATTACTTTCTGCAAATATTTTTAATTTTTTCTGTATCTTAAAAAAGATAATCTTTTTTTAATTACACAAAAAAATGATTTTCCATCTATGAATTAAATCTATGAATCATTTAGAAGCTAAAAGTTTTATTACAAATTTTATATTCGGTAGCACAAAAAAAGTAATTAAGTGAAAACATTTAATTGGTGTAAAGTATTTAATACCCCAATGGTTCTGTACCAGGTTAACATCTTTTTATTATACTTATCAACAGTTTACAAAATGGGTTAACTTCTAAATGTAAATTAAAAACTGGTTAAATAATGACAATATTTTCAAAGTACCCAATTAACTTTAAATATTAACAAAATAATTGAGTATTTAAAGAAATAAAGTTTGTTAGAGATTTGAGCATAAAATTGCTGAAAGTAGAAAATTAAGTAACATTAACAGTTACTATATCACAAAATTTAATGAATAGAATATTTACTTAAGTTCTGATATTAATTTAATAAATTCTTAGAAAATGAGAATTTTAAATTTAGTTACAAGTTAGAATGAGATTTGAGCATAAGATGGCTGATCTAAAGTATCTAAAGTGATCATAAGATTACTGATCTAAAATAGAAAATTAAGTAAAATCAACAGTTACAAAAATTGCAATAAAATCTTTATCTTTAAACTTTTACCACAAAACATATCAAATAGTTACGCTATTTTAATCAAAATATTTCTTAAATGAATATTCAAGAAACAATGTTTTTGTAAATATTCCATTATCAAATTGCAACTTTTAAATATTGTTAAGTGTTAAATGTTTTATGATAAATGTTTATTTCAATACTTTTTTTTATTTCTTATTACTGTTATTTTATCATTATATTTCATATTTGCATTATCACAAAATTTAACAAAGAGAACTTTTACCTAAGTTCTCGCATTGTTGTACTTTACACTATAATATAACTTCAACACATGTTTGCATTACCAGTTTGGAACATAACTCTAAAAAACCTCTCAAAAGTCCTAAAAGGTATATCAAAAATCAGATTAATCAGCGAATTACAGGACTAAGGAGGATTTAATGTACAACTAAAAATTTTTAAATGGCTTGCAAATAGTAAGTTAGAATGAACAACACTCTTAAAATGTTGTTTATTCTAGATTTTAAAATTTTGAAGCAAATTTTGACAATTTATAACATTAATGATTATTTTAGGATGTCATTATGCTCTGCATCAATGTATCTTTTTTTCCCACAATAATTTTGGTACTATTAAATTTTATAAAAACAAAAATAAATTGATAAATAAAAAAAAGTTTTTATCTCTGATTTATTATGTATTTTGTATTTTTATCTATAAATTTTTAATGTTTAACAATCTTTGATGCATTTTCAGCATGGTGCATCTATGCATAATCGTGATGACTTTTTAAGTGAAGCTGCCATTTTAGGGCAGTTTACTGATGACAATGTTATTTTGTTACATGGTGTTGTATTTAAAGGTAAAAATTTTTAAGTATACATAAACATAATGTGTTTATAATCAGAGTATATTTTTATAACATAAATTTATTTTCATGATTTTTTTAAAATTATTCAAGTCTACAGAGCGTAAATTTGTTTGTTAAACTTGTTTTTATTTTTCCATTATCATATTTAATAATATATTTTATTACATAGACATTTAGACATTTTTCCACCTGTTTGCACAAAATATTTGTACAATTATGTTAATAAGGTTTACTTTATTTACACTTTAAATTTATTTACTATTTAAATACAAAAGTTTAAATTTATTTGCTGAAAAGCATAAATACATATAGTCATTGCTAACAAAAGTTCCGTAAAACAAACTGTGTTATTTAAAAACGTTTATTTTATTACACTCCCAGTGGGAACAAGATATGTTTTAGATGTCTAAAACATGTATTAAAACTTATTTATACATTTAAAACATTTCATGTGTCTACTGGGCTTTATATGATAAATATGCATGTATATATATATGTATATATATATATATATATATATATATATATATACATATATATATATATATATATATATATATATATATATATTATATATATATATATATATATATATATATATATATATATATATATATATATATATATATATATATGTATGTATATATATATATGTATATATATATATATATGTATATATATATATATGTATATATTTATATATATATATATATATATATATATATATTTATATATATTATCAGCCTTTAGAATTAGAAAATATATATATATATATATATATATATATATATATATATATATATATATATATATATATGTATATATATATAAATATATATATATATATATATATATATATATATATATATATATGTATGTATATATATATATATATATATATATATTTATATATATATATATGTATGTATATATGTACATATATATATATATATATATATATATATATATATATATATATATATATATATATATATATATATATATATATATATATATATATATATATATATATATATATATATATTTATATATATATTATCAGCCTTCAGAATTAGAAAAACTAAACTGTTAGAGGTTGGCAAAAAAAGTTGATACAAAGAGGTTACCATAAGACATAGAAACAAAGTTTAGGGTCAGCATTTTTTGCTGACCTCAAACACTCTATGGTTATATATATATATATATATATATATATATATATATATATATATATATATATATATATATATATATATATATATATATGTATATATATATATATATATATATATATATGTATATATATACATATTCATATATACACACACACACACACACACACACACACACACACACACTCATGTATATATACATATGCATATTTATATATATAAAAATATATAATATATTATATTTTGTTATAATTACACACACGCGCGCACACACACGCACATTACAAATTAGGGCAGTATACACTATACAGTACAAATGAATTTTGTACTGTATAGTGTATACTGCCCTAATTACAAAATAGACAGTAAATGAAAAAAAATAAAAAATGTCTTAGGACCGGATTTACTTCATTAACAAATATTCACTCATGGTACAAAGCAAAAAGACCGTATTTGTTTTCTTTCTTACCTAAAACATCCTAACAAATTAATTAATAATTAATAAATAAAATAACATAGGAAAAATTATTTTAATTAAAAATTGTCATATTAATATTATCAACTTCAAAATATTTATGTTCACAAGAATTAGTTAAAATGGAAACATTGTACAGATGGCATTACTGCTATTGAATAAATTGTATGATTGACATTCACATGGTCATCTGGTCCTATGTTTTGGTATCTTCATAATATTTTGTATCCAGTTACATTTACATTTATCTTTATAATATTTGTGTTCAGCTACATTTACATTTATCTTCATTAATTTATGTTGTTGTAAAAATTGCATTGATTTTTTAAAACTTGTCTCTCTCATGTAAAATTTTTACAAGTCCACAATAGTTTATGAACACTGGTTGTCAATATAGTTTGTAAGCTAGAGTCAGGTTTAGAAACAACTTGTTATTCAAAATTTTGATATATTTTTAGGTCTACTCCTGTTATCCAAAATAATTAAATATTTTTGAGGTCAAAGAATTTTTTAGTTCGAATAAAAAAATTTTTTTTATTCAAAATTCATGTTTTTTTGCAGAGTTTGTCATTATGGTTTATAATCCGATCAGATTCTCTATTAGAACCCTATTAGAAAATCAATTTTATATCTTAAATAAATGTAAATACTACAAATTTTATAAGCTCTATGAACAAAACCAGTAAAGATGCTTATAGACCTTTAGGATCATATTTTAATCTTTTTAGGTTGTGTTACAAATTTTTGACTTTCTATCTTGACATAATTTTTTTGACGCATTTACAACTTTTATTAACAATTTCAATATATGTAATATTTAATATTAATATATAATATTTATATTGAATATTATATATTGTATTGAATAAAAATATATAAGCATTAGTTGCTTTTTTTTCTTGAGAATTTTTCAGTAACCAAAACTGTATCTTCATAAATAAAGAATATTATCTCTGACGGTTGTTAGGGCACCTTCATAAGTTAAGAATATTATCTCTGAATAGTTGGTTAGTATGTTGGTGGTTACATCTCTAACCAATGGTTTTAATGTTCAGTTCCTAATTGTTAAATTTTAGTAGGATTAAAAATATTGTCTTTTCTTAAATATAATAAACTATTTATTGTAAGAAAATTTAAGTTTTTAATGAAAAAAAAGTTTTTAAAATGTAAGATTGTAATTATTTTGGTTGCTGAAAAATTATTTAAAAAGAAAAACCAGAAAAACAGAACTGCTATTACTCAGAAAAAATTTAAGCAATAAAATTTTACAAGCCTTGAGGAACAAGCCTTGAGGAACAAGCCTTGAGGAACAAGCCTTGAGGAACAAGCCTTGAGGAACAAGGCTGCTGTGCAAAGAAACAAATTAAGGGTGGTACCACCAAAGATGAGATAGGAATCAAATTTTAAACTTAAAGTTTTTTTTTAGTTAATATATATATATGTTTTTTTGCTTGCAGCATATATTTTCATTATTTTACTTTTTTGTAGTTATTTTAATTTTTCTTTTTTGTTTCGCAGGTGTCTACTTTTTAATTTTTGAGTACTTATTTAATTTGCAAATTAAAGAAATTGTTTATAAATAATCTGTTGTTGCTTATTTAATACTTTTTTGTCTATTTTTATTCAATTTAGAAAAACCAAATTTAATTGTTCTTGAGTTCATGGAAAATGGTTCATTGGATAAGTTTTTACATGTAATAATTTTCTTTTTACCATAGTTTTATTTAAAAAATAACGAAATAAAAGCATATAAACTTACTCTTAAATTTATTAACTAGGGGCTTGGGGCCGAACAAAAATTTGTTTTAAGCTTTGTAATTTTTCTTTTTAGGTTTTGCAATAACTTTTTTTTTTACATTGTATGTATCAAGTAAATGTTGCAAGCATTTTTAAATAAAGACATATAATGTATTTGCAGAGCCTAATGCAAAATTATGTCTCTACAAAAAATATTTTTTAATATTGTTTTTATTTAAATTGCATGATATCTTTTTAGGTAACATGTATTTCAAAGTTATTCCTAATATCAATGAACAAGTTTAAAAAAAATGCTAGGATAAAATTTTCATAAAATGCTCATATATATTATAAATATACTTTAAATTACATTGTCGAATAATTTATGGTAAGATTCTTGGAAGATGTTACCTAAAATGTCTCTAAATTTGCTTCTTTGGTTTAAAGAACTTTATGCCTAAAAGTTCTAAGGCTACTTACACAGGGAAGCAAAAAAGTACTAAAATTACACAGAAAGCAAATAAGTACTAAAATTGCAGAAAATTGTCAATAAACTTAAATGAAACTAAATAAGAAAAGTATAGTTAGTTTTAAGATAAAACTTCTTATATTGTTGGACTTTGCCCCTGATGCAAGAATATATGTAAGATTGCTGCCATGACCATTCATAAATAGTGCTATATACACACCTTTTCCATGTTGACTAATTTTGTAAAGCAATACCTTAATTATTGAAAAAAAAAAACATAAATAAAATTTAACAACACGGTTGAAAGGGTGAAATAATAAACTAAAGATTATGTTGAAAAGGTCTTACTAGCAGACTTACCTTGAGAAACTAATTTTCAAAGATATGCTTCCATCCACCCTGACTCAGATACAGCATATTGCTTTTATAAACTACAAAAGGTGGCACAAGAAAACAAGTAGCATTTCCACATATTAATACTGAGAACATAATTTTGCCACAATTTAGTTAAAGGTGAAATACATGCTGCTTCTAAAAAAACATTGTTTATTTCCTTCACTGGAAGAAAATCCTGCCAGATTATAACATCGATTATTATGTAAATCATACTTATCATAAATTTTTTTAACAGTTTTTAAAAAATTTGTTATGTTTTTCGCTAAAAGAGATTTGGCTCTAAATTTGGCTAAATTGTTAAAACTTCAGGAGTTCTTTTAGCTATTAGATAAATTTCAAAGAAGTTGTAACCTAACATGTTATTATCTTATTATCACTTCCGCTCACTGGCAAGATAAGACATGTTTGAAAAAACTTGATTAAATTGGTGTAATAAATTTGCTTGTCACCATATTTTTGAGTTATATTGATCCATTTTAAAAGAGATAATCATCAATGGTAGTATTATCTACAATTTTTCTTGTTTATTTATTTACATTGTTAAACTCATAATTTGTTTATGTTAGAAACTTTTGTATTTTTTTAACAATAAATTAGTGTAAACAGATGATAACATGTGTTCCCATGAGATTGAATAATATCTGAAATAATAGATTCCTACAAAAACAGCTGCCTTGTAATGAATCAAATTAAAATAGAATTCATCTTGCACACCTGATGTAAAGTCTATTTATTTTTGTAGCTGGTTTCAACTATATTCCATAGTTTCAACTTTTTGGACAAATAATTGGACAATAATTTTCAAAACATTTTTAAACTACGCGAACTTTCATTTTTTATATGGTTTAAATAATTAAGTATACATCTACTGTTGAAATTAAATGGATTTTTCCAAAGCTTTCCAACTGCAACAACTTAATTAGAAAGTTAATACTAATCATATTGCATCATCAACCAAACACATAATACTTTTTTTCTTTTTTGAAGTCCTGAGGCTAACTTTTTCCAAAATACTCTAGCAAGAATGATACAATCATTCAACCTCTTTGAGGTATACTTATTACCTGCTTCTAGAATTTTATTTATCTAGCTATTCACTGCGTTTTAGAGTAAAGCAGAAAGTTTCAAAATTTGATCACCCAGTTTGTTTTTTATAAAGCCTTCTAGGTAGCGGTATTCCTTTAGCCTGTTTATCTTTAGATTTGTTAAACCTTTAGAATTTAACAGAGCTTCTACTGACTGGCACTTTAAAAGAAGATTTATTCTTGACTTTATTAAAGAAAACTGAAAAAAAAAAAAAATCTTGAATAGCCTTCTTGATAGCTTAAATAACGATTAAAAATAAATAAAAAAAAGGAAATTAAAATATTTTGAAGCAATCTGTCATTTTGATTACTTAAAACGTTTTGTTTAGAAAGAGACTTCAGATAAAACTTTTTTTTTGAAACAACTGATATTTTACTTATCTAAAACGATTTTTTTTAGAAAAAAACTTCAGATCAAACTTTTGTTTTCTAAAACGCAACAATTAAAAATCAAATTTATCCAATCAAAATTTGAATAGCATAAATTTGAAAGAAAAGTTGCTTAACTTTATAAGCAAAGAAACTTTTGCAAAGACTTTTATTTTTTAATTCTTTAAATTTTTTTAAATAAAAGTAAAAGGTCAACCATAAAAAATTAGCAAAAACTGAATTGTTTTCTGAACTTTTCTCAAAAAATTAATTAAAAATAACTGGTTAAACAAAAAATATAGAATTATGCCCCTTCCCCCCCCCCCCCCTACTATTAGGAGATATTTTTAAAACTTAAACTTTATTTTTATTAAGCTAAGCTTAAAAAAAATAAATTAAAAATAAAACTATTTGGATTATTGAAAAATTATATTTTAATAAAAATAATGGCACTAAAAATCACAAGAAATTTATCAGCTACCCACTTAAGTAGATATGTTGGAAAAGGAAAACCCCTTTTACCATCTGAGCTCCCTACTGCAAGGGACATTTTAAGATATGGATTATTTTTAAGAGAGACTAGTGACCTTAATAAAAGGAACTATACTGTCAATAAACTAGTTAATGATATGACTCTTGCTTTATCTGCTCAATGGAAAAAGCTAATTGCAAGTTTTTACATCCAGTAATAATAAAAAAATGTAGTATTAAAGCTAAACTGAAGTATCTGTGGGAAACAGTTTAAAAATTTAAAAAAGAAGGTAAATTCAACCAAATGATTCCGGAAGATTATAATTGCCTTGCACAGATTAATCAAGTAATAATAAAAAATGTTTGTTAGTAAATAATTCTAATATAAATATTTTTAAAGATATTAAATGTTGATAAGGTGATTTATAAAAATATCTCAAATTTTTTTTTTTACTTTTTAGATTTTTCATAAACCATTAACTTAATGATAATAACACAAAGTTTAGGTCTTGTATTAATTTTTTTAGATTGAAAAAACAAACAAAGTTGACTCAGAACCAAATATTTCTGGAGAACCAGAACCTTCCAATGATATTGTAAAGTTTTATAACAGAATGGACATAACAAACACTGCACTTGCTAGTATGAGGCATCACACTAGCTTATGAGAAACCGCAGAAACAGCAACAGTAGCACTTATAGATGCAAAAACTATAACAAAGAATGATACATTGATGATTATTGATTACAGCAAGGTTAAAAAAAGTTAGTAATCGAATTAGATAGTAAATTTAATAAAGATCTTGAAAATAATGTGGTTTCCTGTATTTTTTTTGATGGCAGGAAAGATAATACAAAAGTATTAACAGAATTTGATGGTAGATATTTCCATGGTCTTCTTAAGAAAAAACATTATTCTGTCGTTACTGAACCAAGTGGTAAATATCTATTTCATTTTGTTCCTAATAAAACTGATCACAGAAAACATGCTGAGGTAATTGCAGACCACTTGGTTAACTGGCTGGTGGATAGAAATTTAGGAAAACAACTTAAAGCTATAGAAGGAGACAGTACAAACGTAAATACTGTTTGGCAAGGTGGTGTGATGCAATGGTTGGAAAGAAAATTGAGAAAGAGATTAGTGTGGATTGTGTGCCATCTACGCATAAATGAGTTAGGGTTAATATATTTAATTATAAGCTTAGACAGCCCAACAAAATGTGGAAATAAGTGGTCAGGACTACTTGTAAAAATGTTAAATACAGCAACAAGTCTTGAAATTAATCCCAGATTTACAAAAATTGATGTTAGGTCTGCATTAACTGTTTTAAGTCCTGAAGTAATAAAAGGTTTAAGTTCTGATCAGAGCTATGCTTACAGAATAACAAAAGCAATAAGGTCTGGTGATGTACCTCAGCAGTTAGCAATGCTAGAGATAGGACCTGTTTGCCATCACAGGTGGCTCACAACAGCATTAAGATTTTGCAGGATATGGGTTTCTCAGCATGGCCTATATGGCACCAACCTTCAAAATTTTACATGGATTGTCGAATTTATTGTAAGTGTTTATATTCCAAACTGGTTTAACACAAAATTTGAATCATGTTGGGTTGAGGGACAAAGAAACGTTTTATACCAATTAGAACTCCTCAGAAGCCAGAGAAAATAAGTTCTTGATATTGTAATGCCCACAATTAAAAGATCAGCTTGGTATGCACATTCAAGCTGCTTTACAAGCTACGATATGCAGTGAGAATAAAGTAGAAAGAGTTCAAGCTGTGGAAATTATTCTTAAGCGTCGTGAAAAAAATCAAGAGCAAACTAATACTTGTGTTTATAGCCATAGACATCGAAGAACACCGGATATTAACATTGATGCTAAAGATCTTTTTAGTTTGAAAGACTGGAGCAATAATATAACAAAACCATGTTTGATATGCAATTTTACATCTTCCGATATTAAAGATTTAGTTAATAACCCAATGGTTGTTCCACATTGGAGTTTATATACACAATCAGTTAAGAAGTGTGTACAGCTTGTCACAGAAGCTGCAGGACATGTCCACACATCAGAAAGAAGAGAGGCTTACATAAGAGCCCAATTCATTAGCAGAGAGTTGATGTTTGCTAAGAGGAGCAAGAAAGGCATGATGGAACTTCTAAGCTATACTTAAATAATTTAGTGATTTTTTAATTATTATTTTTTGTTAAGCATAAAAAGTATAATATTCTGTTGTTGTTTTAATATTCAACCTATATGTTTTATATTATTATATTTAATATTTATTATTTAATATTCAACCTATATGTTTTATATTTAATTTATTATTCAACCTATATGTATTATATTTAATTTATTATTCAATAGATTACTTAATATTTTAATAAAATAGTGGTGTTTTTTTAAAATAATATTAGTTGTCATAATAATTTTTATTTTTATAGACAAAAATATGTGCCTAAAATTAATTTATTTTATGAGAAGCTTGTGTTATAAGAATTACAAAAATTATAGGGCTATCTAACGATAGGGTGCCAATCCGCCTCAAGTGTAAAAAGCCTTACAACATACTTTGTAAAAATTACTATATAAATAATAATAAAAAATAAAATGTATTTTGTACAAAATATAAGGGTTTTTATAATGATTTTTTTACATATTTAACACATATAAGCAGATTTTTTCAATTTTTTTTTTTGACTTTTGCAATAAATAGAATACTTAAAAAATTAAAAATAAAACTGTTTGGCTCTAGGCGGAAAAAAGTTATTCAAAAAAACTAAATATTTTTCTGTGTCTGCTCACCAAGTAGTTTGTAAAATAGTCATAAAGAGTAAAATTAAAAATTAAAAAAAATATAGCTAGCACTAAAATTCAACAAAACCTAATATTTTTTAAAAATAACTTTTTTGAAATCAATTTTTTTTTTAATGACACACCCTACTATCCAACGTTTGTATGCTTGCTAATCACAAAATCTTCAAAAAATACATGTTAAGCCCTGATCTGTCTCCTACTGAATGAGAACCTGAGTACCACCTACCTAAGGATTAAAATGTCCACAATATAAAACTTTGTTCTGAAAACCCTGAGCCAACCTTTCACTGGGGCATCCGTTGTGGAGCAGTTGTTAAGGTTCACGTTGCCCTTAACCCATGACCCACCTCACCCAAATAACCAAACTTTTCTTATGAAGAACCTACCATCCATATTTACAACTAACTTACATTCAATCTGTAATAAAGTAGATACACTAAATCAATTCCTTGCCAACTCTAACATTGATATTGCGTGTTTGACTGAAATATGGTTAAACTGTAATGACGAAAACATCCTTTCACAAATAAATGAGAACTACAATTTTGCTAACTCAGAGTGACTAGACTGAATTGGTGGAGGCACTCTGATGCTTGTTAATAAAAGATTCTCTAAGAAAATTAAACATATTGATCTACCTATTACAAAATCATACACCTATTACTAAATCATACAAAATCTACCTATTACTAAATCATACAAAATCATACACCTGTTCAAAACCTATTGATCTTACCATTGTCTGAACTTTTCTCAAACTATTACCGTTAGGATACTCATCATATTTAATAATATGTGCATATATCCCAGTCTGGTCATTAACTGCACAGCAAGAAGCATCTTTTCAACTTGGACAACTCATTAAACCATCAATCTGTCATTGCACTACCAACAACAAACCCCAAATTTTTCTTACTGGTGATCAAAAATGGATGTTCTACAGATTTTATCTCTCGTTCACAACTGTTAATTAGTTATATATTAAACCACACATATCGAAGCACTTGCTTGAATTTCTGCTATGACTAAATTATTAAACTAAATTATTGTCTGAAGTATATGAGGCAGATGGTTTTTTTTTCTTATAATGATGAACTGTTATGAAAGCTGCAGAAATTCAGATAAAATAATGTAAAATGTATATTTAAACACAATCAATTACTGTCAATCACAATATAAAAGTGATACAGTTAAATTTAAAAAGCAAAATAAAGAAACCAAGTAAAAGGTTTTTCTATAAAAATTTAATTTAAGATTGACTTATCTTCTTCTCAACAAAACAAATGAAACAAAAAAGTTATTCAATCTAAAAGCACATTTATTATGTTATAACATGAATAAGGTTTAATTAACTTAATTAAATTAGTTACTTAAAACTTTACTTTTATCTTATTAAAGTATAGGGACACTGAACAACTCCAACAATGTTTGAATTTTCCTCAAAAATGTTTGGATTATCCCTATTTTTTTAATTTTGGATTAGCTCCACATTTAAATTAGTTCCATGCTGCCCTAAAATTTTAATTTACAGTATTCTACTGCTAAGTTTAAACTTTTAAAAATAAAAAATTATACACAAAACTTTCAAAAAAGTATTGTAATGTGTGTTTACTTAAATACTAAAAGAAAGTTTAAAGACTTTAATAAGCTAATTAATGTAAATATTCTGCAGTATTAAAATAATTTTTGAAAATGCTTTTACCAATAACCAAAAGAATAATGAAAAAAAGAATATTATTTTGCTTTAATAGATTTTTTTATCCATAGATTCTGCCTGCCCAGACTCATAATCAATGTTTTTATACTTATTATAAGTTAAAACCTTTGTTGTTTAAATTTTTAACCTTTTTTTTATTACATTAATTACAGAAAAATGATATGCAGTTTAGTATACTACAACTTCTTGGAATGGCGCGTGGTGTGGCAAGTGGGATGAAATGTCTCTCTGAGATGGGTTTTATACATAAAGTAAGTTTATTTGATTATTTTCATGTTGATTATATTAATTATTTGTGTGTTGATTATTTTTAAGTTATTTTTATTACAGATTTATTAGTTATTTTATTGAAGAAAGTTTGTGTATAATTGTTTAACTTGTTTTAACTAGGATCTTGCTGCACGCAACATATTAGTTGATGAGAGTTTTTGCTGTAAGGTTGCAGATTTTGGAATGAGTCATAAAAGCGACGCGGATGATACCTATGATACTAAAGTATGTTTTAAAAAATAAATCTTAAATGTTTTTAAAAACTATCATTTATAAAAAATTTTGTTTATAAAAATAAAGGGTGGTAAAGTACCAGTTCGTTGGACAGCACCTGAATCTATTCAGTTTGAAAAGTTTACAAGTGCTTCAGATATGTGGTCTTATGGTGTACTTTTATGGGAAATTATGTCATATGGTGAGAGACCATACTGGGACTGGGGAAATTATGAAGTAAGAGTTTTTTATAGAAAAAGAAATCTACTTTATAAAATATTTTTTACTTACATTTTTTGCATAGTTTTTCATTTTTTGTTTCTAGGTTGTTGAGAGAGTTAATACTGGATATAGACTACCCCCTCCAATGGTTTGTTGTTTTTATTTTGTTAAATTATTACAGATCAACATAAATATGAAGAAATTTTTGAATTTAGGAAGAAAGTAATTTAAATTATTTCTCAAAAATAAAAAATTTTAATTTCATTTTTTTTACAAATATTCAGACTTCTTGTACACTAAAAAATGATGAAGATTTAAAATGATAACTTAGACAGTACACTAAAATAATGAAAATTTAAAAGATAAGTTAGGACATTACTATATTCGACACTTCAATAAGCAAACAATTAATATTGTAGTTTAATTTTCTCTCCCATCTTCATGTTTTCCTGACCCATACAACCTATAACTTTTTAAGTCTACTGTCAACTGTTTTCTTGTTCTTTAACTCTATTCTATGTTTTCTAGTAACCTCCGACTTAATAATGGCTTGCAGCCTTGTTGGGATTGAAACAGAATAAAATAAAATAAATAAAAAGTACAATTTATTGTTTTTTTACTTTGTCACATAATGTTGGAGGTTCTTTTAATTAGAGACAACAAAATACAGTATCCTTAGTTTTAGTGTTAGGATGGAAATTATAATAATTTTACACTTTATTCAATTATTATTGGGTTTTTTTTGCAATAATTTTTTTGTTAATTAACTAAACAAAAATTTCAGTAAAAGAAAACTAACACTTTATAAACTAAACAACTTTTAAAATTAACATTTAATATACATTTTACATTATTTTATCTGAATTTCTGCAGCTTTCATAACAGTTCATCATTATAAGAAAAAAAAACCATCTGCCTCATATACTTCAGACAATAATTTAGTTTAATAATTTAGTCATAGCAGAAATTCAAGCAAGTGCTTCGATATGTGTGGTTTAATATATAACTAATTAACAGTTGTGAACTAATTTTAACTTTTGTAAATAAATGAGGCAAATTACAAATTCAATAAGTTATAACTGCTCAAAGATAGCACCTTTTTATACATTTAAAATACACATTTAACTGAATAATTTTTTTGAATAAAAAAAATAGTTGCTGAAATACCAAGGACATCATGAAATTAAAGAAAAATTAGTTAAAAATAAAACAACTTTTTATTTATCATGTTTTTTAAAGTATTATGCATTAACCCTAAGTCCATAAGGAACTAAGCACATTATAATAAAAATTCTCCTAAATATATACTGACTCTCAACCCTTTATTGTGTTTCTTTTAAATAAAAAATAAACTGTGCAAAAAATTATTATAATATTTTAATATCTAAGGGTTGCTCCCTAGATATCAAAATATTTAGGGTCAATGGAAAATAAAAACGAATGTATTTTAATTTTTTTTTGGATGCAATGTTTTGTTTTTTTTATTCAAATTTAATGTTCAGATAATGTTAAATAATCAGATTTTGATACAAATTGTTCACTTGTTTTTACTTGTTGATTGTTCACTTGTTTTCTTTAATGCCTTCACAATTGTAGACTTTCGCATATCTGGAATTCGATGTTGATGTTCTTCTACAGTTTGTAAAACATTGCAATTGAGTTTCATCTTTTGTCAAGATTTTTATGTAATCTGAAACAAGTTTCACCCCTCTTCTGCTGTGTCATACACAACTTTCATAGAAATAACAATTTTGTATGCTTCCTTGTATTCGCTTACTGTACAATGGTCGCTTACTGGCAATGATCCTTCATAAATGTCCAATTTATTCCAAGCACTTTAAATACATATTTTGATCTATTTGTTGCGATTTTCAATTGTATCTAATAATCCTTTACCTTCAAGCTTTTTTACCTGTTTTTTTTTAGCTGGCTTTTTAAATGCAAATAATATTTTTTCTTTAGTTTGATTATCAACATTGCTAAAAAAAGAGAGACTCTCAAGTTCTTCAGTTAAATACCATAAATGTCCTGCAATGGCTTTTATGGCAGATTCAGCAACTTCTTTGTCAAATATTTTGAAATTATCCAACTTCTTAATCAGTGCCAGGTCATTGTGAGGAGCAGATGAAGATTCTTTTTTAAATGAAATTGATGTCAATGCAAGTATATTTTAAACAAGTAGAGTGCTTTTACCATCCATCATGCTTGGTGCTCATGTATAGTACCAGGAGTATGAAAGGTTATTCCGTCATGATCTGGAGGAGTTTTTCCTAAAGATATTATTGACAGTTTCAAAAATTCTTTGTAATCACTGCAAGGTTGTTTTGTTCCTAGCAGCATATTTACAGCAAATTTTATTGCTGATGGTACAAGCGAGCCATTCACTTTGATATCTGCATCAGTTAAGAGCCAAGATTTGAAATTGAATTTAATCCACTGAACACGAAATCGTAGAAACAACTTGACCTCTGGACAAGAAAATGTTCCTAAGCAAGTTTTGTAAACATGGGATAAAATCACTTCATGAATATTGTGTCGACAGGCTGTGTATAATAAATTGAATTTTCCAATCAATTTAAGGTACAACACCTAAATATATAACTTTGTTGCTTAAAGTAGTATCAAAACCGAATGCCACACTTTCGTCATATGAAATGTTCCAATCTTTTAAAGCTTGTTCTGTTGCATAACTCATTTGTTCACCGGTGCATCTATCCAGTTTTGTAACTGACAACTTCATTTTCTACATCATATCCTGTCACTAATATAGGCAGTCGATCCACTTCATCTCTGCTGTTTATATCAGGTAACAATTTTCTGTCCAAAGAAACCCTTAATAGAACTTGTGGCTTTTTAGAACTTGTTAACTTTTTTACGGTTTTCAATAGGTGCACATCAAAGAGATTAATATGATGTTGAAACATGTTCAATATTGGCACCTAACCCTTGACAATTTTTAGACAAAACTAAGGAACCAGAACGATTCAGAATTTTCAAACGATAAAGAGCTGAACAAAATGCTTTTCAGAATTATGTGATGGTAATAAATAAAAATAAGGTGATGTAGGTACTCAAATAAAGCGAAATTTTATAAAAATTTAAAAAATAATAATTTTTTCATATAAAAATTATTATTTTAGATTTTATTGCATAATAACTATAGTTTTTTAACTAAAAGTGAAAAAGGTGCATTTTTACATGTTTTTTGATAACAATTTTTTTTGGCAATATGATTTTTATAAAACGATTATTATTTTCGAATTCGAATTTATAAAATTTCGCTTCTTTTGAGTACCAGGTTGACCTACTATAAAAAACTTTTTTTTCCAAAATATTAGGGTACCGGTAATTTTCCCAATAAAGTTGCGCCCTTTAAATCTATCACAATCATTCTCATATTTGATAGTATCAATATTAATAACTATTAGCAATGTATAAAGCCTGTAACAAGAAAAAAAACCCACCCTAATATATATATATATATATATATATATATATATATATATATATATATATATATATATATATATATATATATATATATATATCCTTATAGTGTAGTCAAAAGAGTTTTTTAATGTAAAAAAAGTCTCTTTCGACTACAATTTTAATTACCTCGTCTCTTAAGCTGTTTTTGATTGTCGTCGAAATGTCAAAGCAATTAAATTAATGCGGAAGTACATTATATTTTATTGTTTTTTAAAAAGTTTTTAAAAAACCGCAATAATAACGACTAGAAAGTTTTTTTAATTAGTGGTGTTTTTGTTTTTGTTTTATTAAAAAACATTTTTAAAACATGCGTAAATGTTGCTACATCAACTATCTTATAGCCTGCTGCTACAAGAGAGTGTTTCTACATCGACTATCTTATAGCCTGACTCGCAATGGAGTGCTGCTACATCGACTGACAAATAGCCTGACTCGCAAGGGAGTGCTACGACATCGACTGAGGGTTTGATTTGGGCAGGCAGTCTATCATTTAAAAAAAAAAAATTTAAGTTTTTAAACTTTTTCTGGTCTGGTTTATTAACGCGCTCTTTAAAACTACAGTTTATGGGAAACTCTTTTTGACTACCATGCAAGAGTATATATATATATATATATATATATATATATATATATATATATATATATATATATATATATATATATATATATATATATATATATATATATATATATATATATATATATATATATATATATATATATATATATATATATATATATATATATGGTCTAGTTAGCACTAATTTAGTTATAATTTTCAAATAAATAACAATTTTTTTATTTAATGAAAACTTTATTTAATTAACAACATGTTTCATCAATATCAATTGACATCGTCAAGTATGAAAAATTAGTTGCAATTTCTGTATATAAACCGTTTTTTTAGGTACATTAAAATTAAGGAAGGGATCCATATTGAGATGGAAAAACTTCTTCTTAATACACAATTAAAATCATACACTATTACTATAACAATATAATTTCTCAATTATCTTTTTTTTTCCTATTTTGTTTGTTATTAATTATTTCACACCTTTTGTATAATCTTTTGTAAAATTTCATGGTAATTATTTTATGTAACTATGGTAACTATTGTAAAAAACTATTAAATTTTAATGTAGTCAAAAAAATTGTTTATATACAGAAATCGTAACTAATTTCTTATACCTGATGATATCAATTGATATTGATGAAACATGTTGTTAAAAAGTTTTATAAAATTGTTATTTATTTGAAATATGTAAATATATATATATGTATATATATATATATATATATATATATATATATATATATATATATATATATATATATATATATATATACAGTGAATATATACATAAATACAGAGTACCAAATACCATGCCTTGTGATGAATAAAAACTGCGCAACGCATAAACACGACGTGATTTTTGACGTCATTAAATTCTTTTTATTTGCTTTTCATATTTATTGACATTAACTGCACCAATTTACTTAATTACCGCAAAACTACTTTAAATCATTAATGTAGAAATGTTATTATTTAAAAATGTTTTGGAATGTTTTGTTTTTTAAAATGTGAAAACATTGGTTTATTTTCTCGACGTTTGACACGTTTTGTCTACTAAGCGAATAAAAAACATTTTAACTAAACAT